AAATAGTTGTCGTTTCCCCGCAGTATTTGTATCTAACAACTCTGTTTCTTAAACCTTACTTCTTGGTGGCAAAAGCCTGACTTTGATTCCAGCAAAGAGAAGTATCATAGCAATAACCAATTTTAGGCCATTTTCAGCATCCCAATCTTATGCTTGAAAAGGACAAGCAAAGGCAAACGGCTGTGCAAATATGCTGCAGATTGTTTCTCTCTTCAGAAGCAACTCCTTCGCTCTCAACCGAGTAGTAAAGGGAAGTCTTAAAACAAAGGGACAAAAGAGAACCTCAAAACCTTGTCTCTGCTGCCTCATGGAGAAACAGGACCTACCTCCATCACAAACTGTGGAGGCTCAGCTGAGGAAGGTGGGGATGCATAAAGAGCAGGTCCAAGAATGTACTGGAGAACAGACAGAGGTAGAGGTGACAATGACGATGAAGAGCTTGCAATGTACTGTTAGATGGACAAAGATTGCCTTCTTTTGCTTACCTCAGTTACGTAAAGGGTAAATTTAGGGTAGCTAAAATCTCATCACACAGGGATACAGAACTACTATTGACTGAAATGTGTCCCCTGTTTATTATCTATGCTGTGCAGCCTACACTAAATACAGTCCTGAGTGCATTTTTATGGAGGATAAATGCCTCTCTGACTCACATGGATTAAGGCTCTAAATGAAGATTTTGCATGACAACATCATCATCTACATGCAAAAAACCAACCCACCTTATGAAGCAGGGTTAGTGCTACACAGTTCTCTGGAAAGCTGACATAGGTCAGTGCTCAGGTATGGCACGACTGAATCCTGGGTCCTATTCCTTAGTACAGCCTCACTTTTTGCTGTGGGAAGGGTCTATCAGAAGTTCCACAGCAGCTCTAGGGGATTATTTAATTTGCTGTTCAGATCTGATTTTAAGTTTACGCACACACACATGGAAAAATCAGTCTCATCTGTAAGAGTGTTTTTAAAAAAGACTTTGTGTGTGTGAGACTCAAACATGTAGGCATCTTTCCTCTTCTGGAAAAGGATTAAGTCAAGACTAGGAAAGCTAGAATAATGAAAGAACAAGACCAGATTTTAAGTATCCTACAGAAACTAAACAGCAATTCTTCAAGTCATAGCTGGCAAAAGCCACCTTTCTGCTATTCCACTGAAAGAGGGGGTTTGCTTTGTTTTTAAAACTTTAACATATTCATATTTTTAGAGCATATTGGAGCTTTAAACTTGAAATACACAAGTTGCATCTGATCACCCATTTTCAGTTCAAGTCACGAATGACAAGCAGTGCCATCTCAAAGTACAAGAAAAGCTTTCCAAGCATTAGCAAAAGGCAGAAAAATTGTGAGTGCTGGCTTTTGCTTAACCTACAGTTTGCTAAAGCAGCTTGTCTGGAACAGGAGTAGTCACCAGACTAGACCAGCACGCATGCTGGCAGCGGCTGGCCAGAGGAAGTTATTCTGCCCAAAGCCTCATTCTGTGCTGCTCTCAGGGAATTCAAAAATCCACCCAGTATCAATTGACCAGATGCAACCAGTTACACAAATATGAATATCCAATCACAAATCAGATATATCCTTCCTCCACACAGGCCAGCACAGTGTTTGATCCTTCCAGAAGAGGACAGCTGTCTCATCCTGCTTGTATTATTGGAATCAGTCACCTCAACCTTCTCTACAAAACTTCCCCTCCCCATCAAATATATCCTTTAAATGAAAATTAGTAGTTCTTAGAATAATCAAGTATGTGTATTACAACAGTATGGGAGTAAGAATATAGATCACACTCTAACCATTCCTGTGAGAACAAATGAGAAAGCTTCCAACAACATCTCTCGAAAGACTATCTACAGTCTTGCTTAGGGCACAGGCCCATTTCTCTTTAGCAATTCCAAAGAGAACTCATCAGCCATAGCTTGGAAGAGCAAAGAGGAAAGAAAAGACTGTGACAACTTATAGTTACTAATAACAGGACCCTGGACATTCAGACACAGAAATCTGAACAAGATTGAATTGCAAGCAAATCTCCCTCACTTCTTTGAACATTACTCTTCTATATGTAAAAGCTGAAATCTTTCCAGTATTTAAAATGCTTATTTACTATTAGCTCTTTTCTTGAAAGGGAAAGGACAACTGGTTGCACAGCTGGTGTCAGCAACTGGGACTCATCTTTTACACACATGGGACTGGTTTCCATAATCAAGGACTGATTTCTAGGAAAAGGTGGGGTGTACTTGACCAAGCAGCTAGTTGGCAAAGGTGCTTTTGTTCTGACCAACACAGCAAGACATGAGCAATCCAGGAAGCTTCTGGAGTGCATTGACAGTAACTTCTTAACATGGGTGACTGAGGATCCAACAAGGCAACCTCCTCGACCCTCACACTTAGAAATAAGGAAGAACGAGTCCAAGATGTGAAGGTCAGGGGCAGCCTTGGCTGCAGTGACCCTGCAAAACAAGGGAACAGAGAGATGGACTGAAATCTGACTCCACTGCTGCACTCAAAGGGTTATGATTAGTGGCATAAAGTCCACTTGAAGGTCAATCAGTATTGGTGTACTCTAGGGACTGACACTGGAGAAAGCATTGCTTAGGATCTTCCTTAATGACTTAGATACAGGACAGAGTTCACCATCAGCAAGTGTGTAAGTAGGGGAGTACACCAGATGGACATAGTCCCATTCAGAGGGACCCTGGCCAGGGTACAGAAATGGGCCAACAGGTAGCTCTGCAAGTTCAACAGAGGGAAATGCCAATCCTGCACATGGGGAGGACTAAGACTAGTCATCAATACAGGTTGGTAGCCAACCAACTGGAAAGCAATGCTGAAGTGAAGAACACTGTGGTTCTGGTGAACACCAAGCTGATCATGAGCCAGCAAGGTGCATTTGCAGCACAGAAGACCAATAGTCTCCTGGGCTGCATTCGGAAAAGTGTTGCCAGCAGGTCAAAGGACACGATCCTCCTCTCAGCCTTGGTAAGAGACATCTGGAGTGCTGGGTTCAGTTCTGGGCTCCCCAGTATAAGAGACATAGACAATACTGGAGGAAGGCCAATGAAAGACAACAAAGTTAATCAAGGAACTGCAAAACCTGTCATACAAGGAGAAGCTGGGGGATCTGGAGAAGCTGTGCAGCCTGGAGAAGAGAAGGCTTGGGGAGATTTTATCCATATCTATAAATACCTGATGGGAAGGAATAAAGAGGACAGAAATTGACTTCTCACTGGTGTCCAGTGATGGGACAAGAGACAATGGACAAAAAATGGAATAGAAGAAATGTTGCTTAAACATAAATAAAGAAAACTTTCTTACATGAGGGCATTCAAACACTGACCCAGAGAATATGTCAAATCTCCATCCTTGGAGACATTTGAAACTCAACTTGACATGGCCTTGAACTGACACTGCTCTGTGTAGGGGATCTCCAGAGATCCCTTCCAAACTGAATGGTTCTGTGATTGCATTTGGTAGAAAATAAGTAAAGACCTGTTAAATTCGATTCTTGGATACAGAAATGTTCTATTAATAGATTTAATCTCTTTTAGGGCTCTGTATACATTCGTCTTTGGCTCATTTGATGTAGGTGGTCAAGAAAGTAAATTAAGCATAGTAAGGCAGGTCCTAAATATTTATGCCAATAGCTGAATGAACATTAAGGAAAACTGACAGATATGGAGCTAATTCTGGAATGTGTTCAATGTAGTTTGTAGGAGAAGTTGAACCTAAGTCCACCCACCAAGACTAAGCTGCACTAACTAGCTAACACTTGTGCAACTGTTTTGGATTTATGTGAAATACAATACAAACCCATTTTAGAAGTCCGAGTATCTTCTCGGTTGAGTACCAGAATAGTGTTTGTTCAACTGGACTTACTTCCTTTACAGCTTAACTTGAACAAAAAGATAAGGAATGACACATCCAGTAGAAAGAACTCACAGAAATACCCCCTATTAAAAAAGTAATATCCTAGCTTTATGGGCTAACTCATCTGCTTAAATAAACAAAACCCATTATATTGGTGTAAATAAGAGGTATATTTAAATTTAATTTTTAAAAGCCTCATTTAAAGGGAATTGACTCGATTAGAAGCCTTAAAAAAAAAAAAACCCAAACTGGAATGGCCAGGGTTTTTTTAACTCAGAAATGTCTTGCATTAAGAAATGTCTTTTATTCCTAAACTAATAAAAACCACATCGAGTCATCAGAAGATTAATATTGACCTTCTAAACCATGGTGCTAGTAATCAGATAATCCTTATGAGTTACTCAAACAGTTACTGATCAATTCATCGTTTAATTATTTATATTGCTATAACCCCTAATCTCTCAGCTCTGCCATTTCCTTCTCTCTTTTATCACGGATGAAGTAGGAACCTCTCATCTTCACAGGCAAGGTTTTTGATATGCACCTAAATGACTGGGATCAAGATTAGTAATGCTGTAGGCAAATGTGCCATCTGGGGGCACATAAGTGAAAGCCTAAAGCATGCTAATCTCAACAATTAATGGCAATAAAACCTAACTCCAACATTGATAATCAAGACCAATTTTATGGACAGATCAGTTCTCATACATTAGCCTACCAAGAAGTACCCCTTAAGCTGCTTAATTTTACATCACTATTTTATAATCTCAAGGAATCTTACATCTGCTTTAGCTTTCTGTACTTAACTGGATACAGCAATTGCCCACAGCAATTGTGCCTGTAGCAATGGTGCCTACCAAAAATTAATTAAGGACTAGACTGGTGGGAAGAAGAGATTTGATAGCTGCCTACAAAAGGAGAGTGACACTAACATAAGGTTGTTGTAACAGTGAGTATAAACCAAGGTAGTCCTACAGATCTCTAGCCTGATTAAGAGATTGGCACACTGTGTGGTTGATAAAGATGCTTGCAAGAGAGCCTGCATACAGTTTTAGGCAGTTATACCAAACATCAGCGCTTGAATGGGGCAAGGCCATTCTGTTTCCATTTAAATAGAAAAGCAAAACCTTCATGGTCACATACCTCATTGCAACATTGCTGCCATCAATAACTATTGGCCTCAGGTTGTCACCATCCTCTGTCACATCCTCCTGCAGTGGAGACTCTGACCTCTGAGACTCTAGGGAAGACGCTTCACGCATTACACTAGTGTTAGCATTAGTTACAGTCTGATCAGTCTCAGTTTTATTCCCAAGTTTGACAAGTTCTCCCAAAATATCATTTATTAAAGCATCAGTACCAAGTTTATTGAGTACAAGTTGAACCTGCTCTTCAGAGTAACCCAACTTAAGTGCAAACTCCAGTTTGGTTTGATATTCTTTCACCACATCAGGGGGCTTTTTGACTTCCTTAGGTACTATCTGAGCCTCTTCTATTCTAAGGTCTTGCAAGATTTCATTTCTTTTTAGTATATGAGGCTCTAAGCAAGGAGATCGGCACAGCTCTCGGTGAGTCTTAGGCAATAAATGTGACTCCGATGCAGAATTATTCAGTCTCTCTGAATCATTATCAGAATTTGTGCTTTCTTCAGAGTCACAGCTGGAGCTTCCGGAAGTCTCTTCAGATGCCTCCTTTTCTACATCTTCTTTCCTAGAATTAACCTTATCCATTGTTGGCTTCTCCACCACTGACCAAGGTACAATTGCATTTATTTGTGTGCCAGTGCTCCCCACATAAAGGTGGCCTAAGTCATGCCCCAGATGATCCTTCAAGCCCATGAAGCTGCTGCATGTACTTGACTCCACCTTGTTGTTTTTCTTGTATTCCTGAATATAAAGTGTTCCGTATTCCTAAAGAGAAAACAAAAATGTTGCAACTGGTTACATGCATTACTTATTTTGTATTTCCTTGCTGCGTCCTCAGAACTGCATTTATTCTCTCCCAGCAGAGAAACAGGACATTTTTCTTTCTTTAAACATGGGAAACTTTCTGTGGGAAAAACTTTTCCTAAGGAACATCTCCATAGCTAAGCGGACAAATAACTAACCATTCTGAGTTTATCAAATGTTTTTTTCTTACACAATTCTAGAAATGGATTTATGAAAGAATACGAAACCAAACACTGCAAGTTTACCTACTGTAGCATAGAGACAGGAGACTCGTCATGATTTAAAGACAATGAGATATTACTTCTAGTTTAAGTCTATATTATAACAATGAAAAAAATATGTATGACTAAAATACAAGTACTAGAAAAGCTTTTTAAACTAAATATCTCAAACTATGTTGAATAGAAAGACATTAGCATAACACTAGATTATCTAGCTTATTAGTAACAGAAAACATGATTAAACAAAAACTTAATCGGCCCTGAACGACACTATCTGTTCAAGTGCATACGATCAAACTATTTATAAATTCCCTTATAAAGTTGTAATTAAGCCAAGAAAGACTAATTGCTCTCAACAGAGTGCTGTATTACTAGCACATACAGTATTTAGGGACATGGATAGATCTAATGGCCAATAAAGCCAACGGAAGTCTTTGCACTGATTGCAACAGATCATTCATCAAGCCAACAAGTCGACAAAACTAAAAGCTGATTTCAACTCTTGGACTAGACACGGACAAGCCTTTTGCTGAATCAAAACTATACATATATAGACAGGAGTCATTTAGGAAGAATGGAAGAAGACAAGTTGCACTTTTGGGGACTTCATACACTTGCCATATCAGTCTTTCTGGAGGAATTTTGCATAACAGTAATTATTCAGAAGGTAGCCACCCAGTTCATCACAAAGATTACTTCCACAGCCTACACTTAAAGGCAGATTCCTACCTCTTTCCCTTACTTCGTTCTTTCAAGCAGGAATATTTGCTAACTGCTCCAATAAAGAAAGTAAAAGATAAACTATTTCTCATAAATAAAAATGGACCATATGGACCAATTGTACTGCAGGGTTACCATGAAAAAGAAGAATTTAAATTAAGGAAAGACTATGAAACAAAGAGTTCTTTCACACTTCCATCTTGCAAGGCAGAATATAAAACAAGATACAGAGGCAAAGGACTTCATTTGAACTTGATAGATACACTACAGACACAAATTTCATCAAGGAGGACATACTGAGAAAAACCACGTCCAACAGAATCTCTTGACCTATAGTAATACAAATTATAGGTATATCTCATGCACAGCCAAAATACATTAATTCTCCCATCCCCTTGCAGGAGCATTTAAGAATCACCCAGTATTTTTAAAATAAAGTCTACTCCGCTCTTCTTGGGATAAAGATTTGCTAGTGTGCACCAGAGAAATTCATCCAGGATTAAGATTAGAGAAAATCAAAAAAACACTCAAATCCATGGTTCAGTAAAAGCAGACTCTGTAGGCACTGACTGCCAAGACATCACCACTCTGGTGGAGCTTTTTGGTTATGAGGCACAAAAACTTACTTTACCTAGTTAAAATAACTAAATCTATCTATCATCAATGTTTTGATCTCCAACACCTTAATCCAGGTAAGAGTGATAGAAAACAAAATTTTACTTAGATATTATCTTGTTAAAAGGCAGTAGGACTGTAATTCTCAGGTAGTGTATTAATGAATATTGCATTGTCTTATCTCAAAGCTGTAGGATTTCAAACAACACCACAGATTAAATTCAACAAGAATTTAGGAAATTAACCTTTTCACATGGTGATTTATTAACTAAGATAATACACTCGATAGCACAGAGATACTAACAAATCACAATATCCCAATAAAAGGATACAGTTAAAAAAACAACACTGTGGCCTTCACAGAACTGACACCACAAAAAAAAAATAATTAAAACAAATCGCAAACAAGTAGCCCCTATTGGAAGCCAGGCTGCTTAGCAACTGGCCTCCAGTTGCTAGGATGCGCTCCTTTAACATACCATCATGAATACTAGCACAGCGAAAGAATAATTTGGTATGAACAAAAGCCCATGAAAGAGAGCGGGACTTAAGTGCGTCTGGTTTCCCCTCCGAGAACAATGCAGCTGCCAAACCAATCTGGAAGCCCCGACATCATTGTTCCACCAACCCCACAATCTGCTCTGACTCGAGGAAGTCTAGTTAATGGGCAACACTTTTAAGCTGGACTGAAAAGTTGAGCTGGCTCATGTACCGCTGCTGCAGAATACAGGGAGATAATGGGTCACTGCCTAAATCCATGTACTGTGAAATGTCATTTTAGTATTGAACTAAAAGTGGAGGGAGGGGTTTTTTTAGAAGGGGGGGAAGAGGAGGTTGCATATTAACAGCATCAAATAATGAAAGTCTGAAGTACATAGATTAGAAAGAGGATTTTTTTTTTACTGTTGGTTAAAATAATACTTAAGTCATTCTCCAATCGCTTCTTTCTTGAAGTTTAAGTGCTTTACAGCAACTACAAGCATAACACCCTCCAATGGGATTCAAAGAAGTCACTAGCATATGAATGTGTCTGAAGATCAGGCATTATATGAAACGTACTTTAGATGATTTGCACATCAACTGTGTATGAAAAATGACCGCAGACTGAGCTTGGTCCATTGTTAGAAAATATACATAATCAGCCTCACATCTATCTGCTTTAAGTCTCCTGTCAATCTCCATCATGCTCCAATATACAATTGTTTATTTTGCACAGAACTCTACTGTTTTTCAGAAACTATTTAAAGAATAGAATAATAAAAGCAGCAGCTTTAACATCTCCCACATATAGAATATTGTCACTATCCTATTGCTTTAAAGGGGTAGTTAAAATTATGTTTTTACTGTAAACCCAAAGCTAAAGATTTTTTAAATAGTTTTGCACAAGCAGTACACTATTCCTGGCATTTGGCCTAAACCCTGCATGCAAACTGCAATTATTTTCAGGCAATTTTTTACAATGCCTGTGAACTTTGTACATCATATCTGTGGTCAGTAGCATCTCTTAGAAACAGTACACGTTGGAGCTCCCATCATGATGTCCTTTATGAGATTCATTGACTACAACCATGAAAATCAGATGTCACTGTTGAATACTGCCAATTATTTTATCTTGATTTGGTTAGTGAAGAGCAACGTGCCAGCCAGTCCATTTGAATGAATTTGTATTCTAAATAAACACTAGTGTACCTCTATACAGGACAATGAAGCTTGTGAAAACTAGAAAAGGTCACATTTATCCAAGGAGTAACATCAGCTAAGAACTCCTTTATTTAGAATGAACCCTCATTACACACATATGGTTTTAAAGTATGCTTTCTGATCAATGCAATGGAGCTAAAAAAAGTATCTGCTATGAATTCTAACTCAAATGAAAGCCAAGCAAACAAACAAAAATAATAAAAAAAAATTCCTGTCAAGGAAGTCTTCAACTTTTGGTTATGCTCATCACAGCTTAGTAAAAGAATTTTACGAAATTTTATTTATTAAAAAGTCAATAAAACGGGCAACTCCCAATTTAGACATAGCTATGACAACACAAGCTTTAAACTGTAGCCTGTTTTAAAGTACAGTATCTCACATTAGGTTCACTGTTAAAGGCCTAAAATACTGTGTCAAAGACATTTATTGAGTATAAATGTAATAATCCAGATGAGCACTGGGCTATTACATTGTAGAAGTGTAATCTTTTCCCATTTCTTAGAAGTCACCACTATTTTCCACTAGCCATCAACAAGCAGCCTATTGATTCACCTTCACACAAACCAGAAATATTTCTCAAAGGAATGTGATTTCTCAAAGGCAAGTAGATATCTAATCTTTTACTATGTATTCAGAATTTTTTCCACTTACAATTGAGCATAAGAGAAGCAATTTAATGCAAATTTAGTTCACAAAGGAAAATAACAAAGAGTAATATAGTGTGTCATGTGGCACAGTATAAGAGAAATTGTGTATTCTCAAAAGACCATCAAAAAGTTTCTAACGATACATTCTACAAGGAAATAGTTCACCATATTTTCACATAGGCAGACTTTTTCTAAGTCTTCTCTACATGAAATGGAAAATATTGAAATCAGTTTGTCGAAACACTCATTACTTGCATAAACAGAAGTGCAGAGTTGATCGGAAAAGAAAAAGAAGAATGTATCCAAAAGATACTGCAACAATGCAAATAAAATAATGAATATGTAATAAATACCTACTGCTGTAGTTTCTATGTATTTAATTACCATTGTATTTCAGCGAGTGCTGTTGTCTGCATCATTCTATCCAACAAAGGAGGGATGTCCCATTGAACAGATTGGTTAATGCTCTGGGGCAACAGATGTCTACTGGAACTGCAGGAGACCAGCAACTGGTGGCCTGCCCATCTTCTGAAAACTTTCAATAGACTCATGCATATGTTCAAACAATAGGGCATGTGGTAGAAATGCAAACCTCTTTTTAACCCTTTTATATGCTCTCTTTCCCTCCCAACTGATATATGAAGGTCTTTGTTTTGGTTTGGTTTTTTTTTTCCTTTTCTTTACAGGATCCTTGGAACACAGGCTCATGGAGTACACTGTGTTTGTTCTTCAGCCTAACATCCGAACTCAAAACATAAACCAAAACAGATTAGAAACTTTATAAAAACAGCCAGGTTAGATCTGACACACTGATAACTAGCTTTCAAAGCACAAAACCTTTGACTGGAACATCTGAGAGCATCCTAATGCTCTATCTTACACTGTAGTATCTTCAGATAGCCCGCAATGGAGCTCTTCCTATTTTCACAAACACAGGAAATTTCATCCATTGTATGGTATAATGGAAAACATCTTTAATTTTTTTTTCTTAAAAGCTTTTTCTACTAGTTACAATGTAAGCAATAGCTTATTTGCAAAAAAAGGGTAAATACCTATA